GGATATTCCTTTCAAAAAATGAAAGTTATCTCATCATTTGCTCACCCTTATGTCATTCCAAACCTGTATGCATTTCTTTCTTCTGCTTACCACAAAAGAAGATTTTTTTAAGATCGTTGATAACCAAACTGTTTTGGTTCCCATTAACTTCCGAAGTATTTTTTGTCCATACAATGGAAGTCTACGGGAACTGAAACTGTTTTACCAACATTCTTCAAAACATTTTTTTTTCTGTGTTCCACAAAAGAAAGAAAGTCATACAGGTTTGGAACGACATGCGCATGAAAAAAATATTGAAATTGAGATACAGAATTTTTCTATATCTTTGATTATCCCTTGATCAAAAGAGCCAATCCCCTGATATTCTGGCCCTCCTTTAATTTTCACAGGCCAAAATTCTATCACTTAGAAAAGAAATAGCTCACCCCTCACTCAAAATAAATGGAGACAAGAAATATAAAGGAAACTGAAATTTGATTGACTGAATTGCTCTTTGTGGGATAATTTGCAATTCAACCCCTCATTGAGTTATTATTTACATGTGTATCTAACACAGTGTCTTTTTTAGAAATGTTTTCAAGAGTTTCCTGCATCTTGACCAGTAAGGCCATAGCGTTATTGCAAATTATCCCACAAAGAGCAATTCAGTCAATCAAATTTCAGTTTCCTTTATATTTTTTGTCTCCATTTATTTTGAGTGAGGAAGTTAATTTCATCATATTGCCATGCAAGGAAGAGAGAGTGAGAGGACATGTGGTGACAAGGAGTCCAGGCTTGTTCAAAATCCCCCCAAAACAAGAGGAAAGAACATTTAGAGCCCACAGACTATCCAGTTGTAAAATCCACCTTATTCCAGGATGCATAACACTAACCAGATGAGCTTGTTTGCATATTACCAAACCAGTCCAGAATTCTTTCCCATTTTAGGTATTTTGTTTGAAATCAGCCTTTCTTATCCCAACTGTGATTGCAGTATTACCACCGTTCCAAACCTCATTATTGTTTCACCATTGCTCTTTCTGCCCACCTCAGTGGAAATGATTGTTTGGTAGATAATCAAACGATATACTGTGGACACACTACAGAGTAAGGAAATTATGTAGTGATGATTCACATCAAATTGACCTTTAACTCTCTGGGGTCGGCGGTCTCGCCGGCGATACCAGCTCACTTTTTTCCTTATCAGTGCAAAAGAGACTCAAATTACTCTGTTAATTTTGATCTTACATATAAGTGTTGTACATCATTCGATCCTGTTAAGTTTGTATTTTTTTGTGGAACCTCACAATAAAAACAAAGTGTTGTGCTTTTCGCCTAATAAAGAAAAATAAACATGATGCGCGTTCTGCGTTCTCTCTGTCAGTGAAGTCCATTCTGAAACGCGTCCGAAAAATCATCTGTAACTCTGCAAATACTCAGTCAAACAGGTATACAGGCACACAGGCATGAAGCCTGAATTATCTTCTTTTAAATGAAGTAATTTATATTAAAAAAAAAATTTCTCATTTTATGTAATCTGTACGAAAAGAGAGAGATGATAGTCGTTCTCGTCTCAGCTCATTAAAGTTAATTTGACCACGCCCACGGAGCGCGCGCTCTATTCAAACACAAATGCTCTGAGGCGATCCACGCCCACACCAGCTGGATAACCACCGAAAGAGACACATATTACGATGCTGTGAGGAATAATAGTACTATCTTAATAATAATCCTGGAAAAAATTACCTCAGAAGTAGGCTACAGGTAGTTTCATTTGGAGGAGCAACGGATCCAGCCGAGGAAATAGGTAGGCTACATTCTTTATTTTCAAGTGCTTTGTTCTAATCGCGATATGGAATAGTGTCGGTAAACAAAAAGACTGTTTGGATCGCGTTTTTGTGTGTGAATGAATGAACAGCTTTTACCTAAGTATATTCCAATACTGAGATGAGTAAAAATCGACTGAAATATGTTGAAATAAAATATTTTTGTATAAGCAACGTATTAAACTGCAAATTAACATTTATATGTCCTAATCATAAAAACGATATGTTACATATGAAAGACAAGATGTCGTTTTTACTGTAAAATACTGCCACATCAAATAAGCTTGTTGCTAAGATGTTATTATAGTGTTTGTTCGATTGTAAGCTATATTCAAACTAATTAATCCGCAACTGTGAAATATGTATGATAAAATGTATACTTTAGTATATAATACAAAGAAAGATTACATTTGAAATATAGTTAAAATTTTAATTGTTGTTGTAATTGTAACCTTTTTATTAAAATAGCAAAAATATATGTAGGCTACATATAAATAAATCTTAGGTAAATCTTAAAAGCTCAATATAAGCCTCCTCTTTAAATTATTTGTATTGTGTTTTATTAGTGACACATTTGGGATACATTCCCAAACTTTCTGTAAAAACAGTATGATAATTAACTGCACAATTACTAGAAATTTTTACATTTGATATTATACAATTTGCAAGCACAATTTGAAAAATAAATAAATAATTGGAACTGTGAACCAATTTTGTATTATATAGGCATATATATATATATATATATATTGTCATTGCATTCTTGTGGCTCAGTGACACACCTGAATGAAAGGCTCATTAGTATGCAGCCCCATTATGCGCTCATTATGCGGGCCCATTGTCTTCTCAGGTGTGAATCACAGCAGGTCACACCCCTGCGCATATTGCCTTTCCAAACAAAAAGTGTCATTTTTAAATTTAAACCAATCTATTGTTTTATGTGAATGATAAGACAGGATGATTTTCAGATCATTTTGAAGAAAAAACTCTAGGCCACAACATCCATTAGTCAAAAGTCTTGTGGACACATATTTAGTATGTGTTTTGTGGCCTTATTTCAGAAACTTTAAGTTTTAGTTTTTTCAATAACCACGCATAAACAATATTCTCTCAAAAATACAAAAATGTACATACATGTTGATAACACATTATGGTAGCCCTGTGTGTGCTAAATAGAGTGTAATTACACCTTTGCCAGTAATATGTTTATAAGCAACTGAAAAAAGCACAAATGTCAGAGTATGTCGAAACATCTCAAGGACCCCAAAAACACCTTGGACCCCAGAGGGTTAATGTTTATAGGAGATATGATTTTAAAAAATATATATTTCATACATTTCATTATTGGGGAGGGTGCTGTACATTTAGAAGACTAATTTATTGGCCACTAGATTATGTTCTCAAGAAAGATGTTTAGTTTCCTGAAATGTGCAAGAGGTCTTAATGGGGTATTTATGGAGACAAATATTGCTCTACATATGTTATGTACTATTAATTGATTGTTTCTGTAGTCCTTGATATAAAAGGTTTGCCTTAAAATTGTATATTTATTATTTTGTAGTCTTTCATCTGTGAGATGAGCCAGAGACTTTGCACAGCTGAATAACCGCTTACTTTAGATTCAATTGTTCTGTTAAATGTCCTATTAGCTGTCTTGCTTCCAATTATTTTTGACATTTCCACTTGCACAGTACAATGTGACATGGCCTTTGATTATAGAGAATGACTAAGCCAGTCAAAGGGCTGGAAGAAGTTCTACTATCTTTTTTAAAACCAAAGTGGAATTCAACTGACATATAAAATGGTTATCTAACTGAGAGCAATTCTGAGACTATGGTGGTTTTAAATCCTTTGGGTTTTGGGGTTCTGTTAAAAAACAGAAGATATAAGAAACAAAAGACTGGGTAAACTGGATATGGCAGATTACATCATGACAGATTGCACAGATTTGTGAGAATAATGGAAATTAAATTGGGGAAGTCAAATAAAGTGTTTTATTAATTCACTTCTAAAACAAAATCACACATTCACATGTGTAAATGTGGCCAGTCCAATCCATTTTCTTTAAACTGAAACTGTCGTCTTCTCTGTCGTCTTCCCATGTTAAAGATGGAACCCAGGTGGATGTTGTCTAGTTGTGCCCCAACTAAAGCCCAGTGAAATATTGTATAAAACCCACATGGGCAACTGTCATGGGGCCAACATGGAGCCCGTGGACAAACCCTCTTACAACCCGTATTTCAGCCCATATTGCAGTTTGCAGTTTCTCTCATCCACAATACGAGTGAACCATCTTGGGTAATATAAAGCCAATAAACTTTGCAGTCCTTTGTTCTCAACAAGAGTCATTGTACTAAAATATTCTGTAAGAAACTCTGAATATATTGTATTTTTATACTCAGTCAAAAGCAAGGCATCATGAGACGATTAAAGTAATCAGTCTTTTTGTGCATTTGTTATATACATGGCCTTGTATATTATATTGATTGCCCTGGTTCAGTAAGATTTTTTTCAGCTTTTAAGACTCAATGATCTAAACATCATGACATACAGTATATAGTAAAGAATAACAACAAAAGCATCACACATCACCTGCTTTGCCATGGTTTCATGCTTTCAATTGATAACTAAACAAATGTGGTTCACTCCATTGAGTTTATTTAGAGTATGATGAATGTATTGATATTTTCTATATCAAGTAGCATTTACCAGTAGCAGCCCCATTCAGGTTGTATCGACATGATGCTTGATACAAACTGAAGCACCTGCAACACTGTCATGAATGAATAACGCTTTTCCAAACCAAATAAACTCCTGCTGGGTGTTGATCTTAATTTAGGCCTACTACGGCTAGCTAGAGCCTCTTTTGACAACTTTGTCTTGTGATTCTAATAAAAAATGGCAGTCATTGACTCTTCAAGGTCTGTAATCCTCTCATATTGTTTCAAAATGTAAGGATTCTGGAATTACATCCCTTCTTATGATGCCCACTCAGAGGAACCCTGCAGTCTGCACACTGAACACCAGCCACGTTTCAGGAGATCTTAATCAACTTTCCACCAAACAAAACACTTGAGCTCTGTTAGGGGTCTCATCAGGTTCTCTATGAGTTTTTGTGTTTTTGCTAATAGCCACATACTCATGAGAAACCAAGACAATGATGAATCTAGAGGTAACGTGGCACATTAAAGGCCATGTAGGCCTATAAAAATGGACCAAGTCGCCACCAACATCAGACCAGCTTGCAAGAGAAGACAAGAGACAGCAGCTGAACCACTAAAGCAACGCTCTGCATCAAGAATGAAGCTCTCCATTGGGACCATCCTCATCACTGTTGCACTTTTGTCAGAGTGCTATTTCAGAACCGCTGCCATTGCCATGACCAAAGCTGATGAAACGGAGTCAGATCTGCAAGGCTTGGGCGAGAAATTGGAGGAGAACTCTCTGAGATCTGCACCAGGGAACTCCAGGATCATCGTGGTAGCCGACTCCAATCTGCTGAGAACCCTGACATCTCTGAACAATGGAGCGCATCATCTCAGTCTACCTGAGAGCCTTCTCAGCACAGAGCGCAGAGATGTCAGTTCAGACTTGAGCCCGAGCATCGCCATCATCAGAAGAGACACCATGAGGTGCATGGTGGGAAGAGTGTATCGGCCATGCTGGGAGGTGTAGGTCTTCTGGGATGACGAGGAGAATGCAAGCTGCTGATGACAACAGATTCACCTTCTCTAATCCACTGTTGCTTAGTGAGAATGTAAAAGTGTATGCTATTTATCTAAAATGTATCTTGCAATTAAACATAGAAAAGATTATTCTACAAGATCTTATCTGTTCTCGTCTGTTCTAATTCAACATATTTTCTTTTATTTCATGTCACATTTAAATATGTGATCTGAGGGTGTCATGATCAGTGACATACCATACATTTTTTTACTAGATAAATGTGATATTTTAGCATTTAACATTTTTTTTTCTAAATTAAAATATTTTCTACAACCTTAGTTTAATATGAAGACTGGAGTATTATTAGACATTTGTATGCTGAATTACCATAGTTCATAGTTTTTGTCTTTTGATGAAAATATCCTTTATAATTTAGACAATATTTTGTCCTGCCGTAATCATTAATGACAGTCAGTTTTACTCTTAAACTTTTAGTTGACGAAAAATTAAACCAAGACAAACATTTTTTATATTAATATAGACATTTCATAAACATTATGAAAACTGTCCTTGTTTTGTGCTCCTGGGCACCTGAAATTATAACATTGTAATACAATATTTTAAATTATTTATGCTTTAGCTTGTCAGTGTTCATTTATATGGGACAAAAAGTTTGGAAAATAGACAGATGGATAGTCAATGTGTTTACACATTTTAGTGCATTTTTAGTGCATTGTTACGGAAAGAGCGTGAATTACATATTATGTTCAGCGTGTAATTTAGTTAAATTCACTTGTGCTGCGCATTTGAGTATTTTTTTGCAGGTGCAAGTTGTAATATTGCGTTTATGTTGTGTATAGATTAATCTCATACAGCATATGCATTTGCAGTAGCATGCTTTCAAAACATTTCAGTTTACTGGTGGTAATTCTTTATTCAGCTTTATCTAAGCAGCACAAGCGGGTCAAAACCTGACATTAATAAGGGATGAAAAACGTAGACGAAGTAGATCCAAATATAAACATGAAAGTACTATAAAGTAAACTGAGGCAGTGTAATATCAAAGAACACAAACGAAACAGTGTGCCGTATACTGGACAATGAATGGGAACTAAAGAGGAACTTACACAGTGATGAACCAAATACAGACAGGTGTGCTAATTAATCAAATGATGAATAACCGTGGTAAATAATGATAAACGGGAACACAGAAAACAAAGATGAGCAAACTAAAAGTCATTGAAAATTAAACTACAGCAAACTAAACTGAATGTACAGAATGCCCCCCTCCGGGAAGGCGTGACCTTTCACAGTAACATGACTGAGAAGGTTGTTGAGGAGGCGGACGAGGGGCTGGTGAAGGACGGGAGACAGGAACAGATGTCAGCAGGAGAAACCAAGGTGGTGATGATGGTGGGAGGAGCCAGGGAGGTTGAGGATTGGAGGAGTAGCCAGGCGAGAATCAACAGCATAGCCAGGATGAAAGCCCATGGTGGAGTCGATGGAGGGAGGAGCCATGTTGGAGACTTGGAGACTGTTAGTGGAATGATGGAGATGAAGCCGATGGTAGTGGAGCCCGGGGCACAGATGAAGAGCAGATGGGACCGGGCGGCATCGATGGTCCTTCATGGGTCGACATTTCATTCGATAACGTTAGGCAGTTTATATGCTGTTTAATGTTTGATGATCACGTTGTTTGATATTTACATAAGAAATCTTCTATCACTTGTTTCTGCTTCTTTACCTGTGTTTTGATCCACGTGATAGCGCCCCCTATCGCATAACAGTGAAAACATGTATAGCCGGAAAATTCAATTGCGGGGAAAGAGTAAAGAAGATTTGAAGTAAATTCCTATGTACACTAGAAAACTAGTCTACACAAAAATCCAGGTACTCAGAATTAGGAACGTATCTGTTTTGTTTCATTAATACAGTGTATACTTTTTCTTGATTTACCCCGAAAGAATGGACGTGAAATGTGACAACATTATACAAAACATAATAATAATTAATACTTTCTGAACATTGATTCTCAGTTTTTATTCACCTCTTTTTATGGTCTCTCAATAGAATTCATAAAAGATGTTAATGTGAATTATTGTTCTAATAGGGGCACATTGTAATGCAGTGTAACAGCGTGCCCCACCTATGCAACTGGGATTTAAACCCTGCTAATGTCTGCTAGTTAGCATTAAAGAAGATATCAACTGTTAAAAAAAAACAGATTGGAGATTAAAATAATATCAGATTTGCCTACTTTTAAATAAACACAAAAAAAAAACAGAGATGAAAAATGAATATAAGTAAGAAATTAAATTTTGCTGTGGTTAAATAAATGTTTAGTGATATCTTCCAAAGATTTCTTAATTTTGGTGCAATATTTTCTCTATATAGTGTTGATATGGCAACTAGTAAATACACTAAGTTTTGTCATGCTAGCATGGAAGTATTTAAAACAAGTGTGTTACCACTAGCCCCGCGTTAGTTTGTGCCTTGCTCACCCCTAGTACTCATTTGCCCTGCATTACTTCCTGCATAGTTACCTATTACAGTAATGACACACCATTATTCTAAAGTGTTACCCAGTATAATTGAGTATTCTAACTATACTTGGCTTGTAGTTGTGTTTACTCTTTTGATTGAGTAGCCTATTAAATACTTTTTTCATGTAGTTTTACATATTGTCTTGAAATTACATTGTTTGAAAATATTGATTCATAAAGAAAACCACATAATTGTACTAAACGTGTGAAATTAATGCGAAAAAAAATAATAATAAGTAGGTTTACACAAACTGAAAAAGTCAAAATATAACAGTAACAGTAATTTTGGGGGGTGGATTTAAAGTAATGTAATTGTCTGGTTTTAGGTTTCTGTTGAACACAGCACATCTAGGTTATGATCTGTAATCATATCATTTACAAGAAGTGCTTTTGAAGAAAGGGATTGTATATCCAGCAAACCGAGCTTTATCATTTGTTCATCTGTATTATATCTGTTTTTTATTTGTTGAACATCTACTAAAATGTTACCCTTAAATGGGTTTGAGAGTTTTATTTACTAATTCAAGGAAGAGACACAGTCTCTATATGGATTGGGTATAACCTTCATGCTGATCTGGTCTACTGAGAGGGGAGTTAACCTTTTGCATCTTTCTAATTAAAATGTCTACCATGATCAGAAGGCAAGCCTTATCTGTATGTTGTGCTGAAATGCTTATTCTGTCAAATGCAGACAGTAAAGGAGATGACAGGCAACCTTGAAAAGAAGGTTCACAATGCTGACTGACAAAAGAAAAACACAGGATTCTACATCACACATTTTGGGCAATAAAAATAGATCCTGGGTTATTCATCCACAATAATGAGAACTTGTAAAACGAACATTGTGAGAGCACTTACATGTCAGAGTTTAATACTTAAAATTATGGGTTTATTCAAAATGAAAGAGGTCTATAATACATTAGGAAAGCAATCCCATTCATTTAAAGGGCATCTAATTAAGCGCCTAAAACAGGGTTATTCTCTGTCTTGTTTTCATTGTTAAGTATTTGTTTGCTCGTTTTCCTTTTTGATTTAATTTTCCCTATGTGTTTCATTAGTTCATTCCATTCAACTGTGCCTTGTTAATCACCTTGTTAATTATCTCGTTTGCTCCTTTGTTTGACTGTGCATTTATACCCTCAGTTAGCTTCTGTGCTTTGTCTTGTGTTAACGTTACTACCTGGAAGTTATCGTCTGTTATAAACAGAGATATATTTCTTGATTTCTACTAAATACCACTTTAATGATCCTCAAGCCTGATCTTTCTGAATCCACCAGCCAGCAGGTGTGACATGACATCTGAGGACTAATTCTCATTTTCTCAGTTATTTTGCTTTATTTCCAGATTCAATCATAGGCCCGTTCTTACGTACTAGAGCATGTTACGTACATGCACACTCTTCAAAAAGGGTGCTTTAAATCTCTTGACAAAATAAAATGTCAATTGCATTTGTATATATTCAAAATAAAAGATATAGTTTGTACTGAATGTCAGCTAGCTTATTTTGCTCAAGATAAGAATTTATTAAGCCCACATGTCATGCAAACAATAAACTATGCTTCTAACCACTGTGAGATCTGTTGTTCCAATTACAGAAGTTTGCGATGCTGTTTGCAAATGTTCGTTGGAATTATGGTTTCAGGAAACACGACTCGTTGAACTATGCTGATAACGACGGAACTTGCGACCATAGATGGCTAATGATGCTTTTAGGAAACGCACCCCAGAACCAGACATATTTGGTCTATATAGGCCGGTCTAAAGCTGCAAGGTTCTGCATCAAACTAATTTCTTTCCACACTTCGCAAGTGACGACTACTACATAGCTAGCTGTCAACAGCCAGATGGAGAACATTAAGAAACATGAAAAAAAAAAAAAAAGTGACCCGATTATTTTGAAAATCGTGCAGTCTGAACTCGGCATAAGTTGTAACTAATGCCGAGTTCAGACTGCACGATTTTCAAAATAATCGGGTCACTGTTGTTTTCACACTGCATGACTATCTGGGGTAACATTCAGTTGCTGCTGTGTTCACACTGCACGATGGATCGGCGACAGGAGGTTTCACACTGCATGACTTTACAAAAGAAAGAATCGCCGACAACTTCTGCCTGGTCCGCAAACTACGTTTCACAACCAAACAAACGCGAGAAGTGATAAGGAAATAACGGAAGATCACGCGTGCGTGAGACCGGAGTTCTCGCGCGACACTGAATTTGTTATTAAAAATGATAGCATACAAATTGTCTGTGCACTGATTTGTAGCGAAAATGAAAAAATAATAATAAACAGTTTATGCAGGAAATGGTTGGGAAGATGAGGGGAGCAAGGACTGTGTTTTGCAAAGAGAGTTGGGGGTAAATAAACAATTTTGCAAATGTCCTGCTGTTGCTGCTGGTCATGCAAATGTTTGTGCTTTGTTTTTGTTTGATATAATTGTAAATATAGGCCTATCTATTAAAATACTGATATTCTGGTCTATAACTCCTCCTCCTCCTCCCTGTATCTTGCTCTCTCATTGGCTGTCGGTCATCGCCGATGTAGTTTTCAGTCAGAACACATTCACACAGCAGGATTGTGAATC